ATTTACTATTGTCTTGGAATAGATACAAAGTATTTATATGTCCCAGCAATGTTTTGGATATATGGAAGTATATAATAATAAGGGGAAGGAGGAGGAGGAGGGAGAGGAGGAGGAGGAGGAGGAGGAGGAGGAAGGGAAGAAGGAGGAGGGGGAAGAGGAGGAGGGGAAGAAGGAGGAGGAGAAAGAGGAGGAGGAGGAGAAGAAGAATAGAGGTCTCCCTCAACATTTGCGAGGGTTAGGGGATCAAGAGCCTCACGAATGTTGAAAAATCGCGAATGTTTGGTGCCCCAATATATTGTAAGGAAATCTGATACAATACTGCTTCCTTAACCTATTGAACCATGAACAATCATAAAACACATGAAAACATTGTAAAATATGTATTGTATATACATACATGCTCCTTCGGCCACTTGATACTTGAGTTCCACAGGGAAGTGTCCTTGGACCCCTGCTCTTCCTCATATACATCAATGATCTTCCAAACATATCCCAACACCTGAAACCCATTCTCTTTGCTGACGACACAACTTATGTCATCTCTCACCCTAATCTTGCCACCCTCAACACCATTGTTAATGAGGAGCTGCTCAAACTATCGACTTGGATGACAGCCAATAAACCTACACTTAACACTGACAAAACCTACTATATTATGTTTGGTAGCAGAGCAGGTGCTGCACAACCATTCATCTACAATCCTGTCAGACACTGCAACTTCTTGGGATCTTAATACTTGGGAATTCTTCGCTTGCCTAACCCTTGGGCACGACCTACTTCCACATTGAACAAATGTGACACCACCTACGACTGCTGCACCTCTCCTGCCTACGGTTTATAAGCTCCTTCTCCACACTTATGCCGTATTCTATTCAAGATTGATGGACTGACCACATCGACTCAAGGTTGAGGGACTGATTACCTCATTCTCCTCCTGTTCTTCAAGATTCTCCTTTGTATGGACTGATGAAGCCACTGTGTGGCGAAACATTTGCTCAGTAAAGATACCCAAGAGTTGCACATGTGTCTAATTTATCAATGTGTCGGTTCTCTGAACCATTGATCTACAAGTTTCAAACATACTATATGTACCAATAAAGGGGTAACCCCAAACAGTTGTCAACTAGTAAGTGTATCTCATGACTATTCAAAAAGAACTAAGCAGGTTAAACCCAACTAAGAGCGCTGGCCTGGATAACATCCCATCTAAGTTCCTAAAAGATGGTGCTTCTGAATTGTCAATCCCTATTGCTCACATAATAAATTTGTCCATTACCACTAAAACTGTACCAGAGGGGTTCAAGGAGGCCAGAGTTACTTCTCTCTTCAAGAAAAATAGTAGGTCTGATGTAAGCAACTATAGGCCTGTTGGTATATTCAGTATAATAACCAAAATTCTAGAGAGGACGGTGTACTGTCAAGTAGTTAAGTACCTTAATGACAACAACATTCTCCATAGCTATCAATCAGGCTTTAGAAGATCTTACTCAACCTACACCTCCCTAATTAATCTGATGGATTACTTGAGAACTGAAATGTCAATGGGGAACCTCATAGGTATGGTAACCTTAGACCTGCAAAAGGCCTTCGATACTGTCAACCACAATATATCAAGTGTTTGATGTGTTGTTCGAGTGTTTACATTGAAGCATATATGTGTACAGTATTTAGATAAAGGTAGAGAAGTTTTCATTGCATTTCTGGATTTAGAAAAGGCATATGATACAGTGGATAGGGAAGCAATGTGGCAGATGTTGCAAGTGTATGGAATAGGTAGTAAGCTACTAAATGCTGTAAAGAGTTTTTATAAGGATAGTAAGGATCAGGTTAGTGTGTGTAGGAGAGAGGGAAATTACTTCCTGGTAAAAGTAGGTCTTAGACAGGGATGTGTAATGTCATCCTGGCTGTTTAATATACATGTATTTATAAATGGGGTTGTGAAGGAAGTAAATGCTAGTGTGTTGGGGTGAGGGGTGAGATTAAATTTCGGGGAATCAAATACAAAATGGGAGTTGACACAGTTACTTTTTGCTGATGATTTTGTGCTTTTGGAAGATTTTAAAGAGAAGTTGCAAAGGTTAGTTGACGAGTTTGTGAGGGGGTGTAAAGGTAGAAAGTTGAAAGTGAACATAGGTATGAGTAAGGTGATGAGGGTATCAAATGATTTAGATAAAGAAAAATTGGATACCACGTTGGAGAGAGGGAGTATGGAAGAAGTGAATGTTTTCAAGTATTTGGGAGTTGTCAGTGGATGGGTTTATGAAGGATGAGATTAACCATAGAACTGATGAAGGAAAAGAGGCGAGTTGTGCATTGAGGTATCTGTGGAGGCAAAAACCATTATCCTTGGAAGCAAAGAAGGGAATGTACGAAAGTATAGTGGTACCAGCACTCTTATATTGATGTGAAGCTTGGGTTGTAAACACTACAGCCAGGAGGCAGCTGGTAGGCAGTGGAGATGTCCTGTCTAAGGACTGTGTGTTGTGTAAATATTATGCAGAGAATTCAGAATGTGGAAATCAGGAGGTATGGAGTCACTAAAAGTATTAATCAGAGGGCTCAAGAGGGGTGGTGGAGGTGGTTTGGTCATTTAGAGAGAATGGATCAAAGTAGAATGACTTGGGGAGTGTATAAATTTGTAGGGGAAGGAAGGTGGGGTAGGGGTCGCCCTTGAAAAGGTTGGGGGGGAGGGGGTAAAGGAGGTTTTGTGGGGGAGGGGCTTGGACTTAAAACAAGCATGTGTGAGCATGTTAGATTGGAGTGAATGGAGACGAAGGGTTTTTGGGACCTGACTAGCTGTTGGAGTGTGAGCAGGGTAATATTTTTGAAGGGATTCAAGGAAACCAGTTAGGCAGACTTGAGTCCTTTAAATGGGAAGTACAATGCCTGTACTTTAAAGGAGGGGTTTGGGATATTGACAGTTTGGAAGGGCTTCTAAACTGTCGTATCTGAGCGCCTCTGCAAAGACAGTGATTATGTATGAGTGATGGTGAAAGTGTTGAATGATGATGAAAGTATTTTTCTTTCTTTTTGAGTTACCCTGCCTCGATGGGAAACGGCCAGTGTGTTAAAAAAAAAAAATTACATGTGGTAGCAATGTACGTACGTATATTGCTATTAATTTTGTCTGGTGATATCCCAACAGTATACCTGGAGAGGATTTCGGGGGTCAACTCCCCCGCAGCTCAGTCTGAGGCCAGGCCTTGTGGTGGATCAGGGCCTAATCAACTAGGCTGTTACTGCTGGCTGCACACAAACTGACATATGAACCACAGCCTGGCTGATCAGGTACTGACTTCAGGTGCCTGTCCAGTACCTTCTTGAAGACAGCCAGGGGTCTATTGGTAATCCCCCTTATGTATGCTGGGAGGCAGTTGAACAGTCTTGGGCCCCCTGACACTTATTGTGTTGTCTCTCAGTGTACTTGTGGCACCCCTGCTTTTCATTGGGGGAACATTGCATCTCATGCGGAGTCTTTTGCTTTCATACGGAGTGAATTTTGTGTGCAAGTTTGGTACTAATCCCTCTAGGATTTTCCAAGTGTATTATCATGTATCTCTCTCACTTCCATTCCAGGGAATACAAATCAAGGGACTTCAACTGTTCCCAGTAACGTAAGTGCCTTATCGTACTTATGTGCCGTGAAAGTTCTTTGTACACTCTCCAGGTCAGCAATTTTGCCTGCCCTGAAGGGGGCAGTTAGTGTACACTACTAGAAAATCTTGGAGATTTTTTGCACCAGGCAGCTTCCAAAGAAGGAAGGTCCTTTTGAAAAACATAAGGAATATAAAACTGAAACATAATAGGTTGATACATAGATACTTTATTTAGAACTTTTGCTTTTTTTTAACCCTTTCAGGGTTATCGACGTACTAGCGAGAGAAAGCTGGTAGGCCTACATACGAAAGAATGGGTTTATGTGGTCAGTGTGCACAGTATAAAAAAAATCCTGCAGCACACAGTGCGTAATGAGAAGAAAAAAACTTTGACCGTGTTTTTGGTTTAAAACAGCGACTTTGCACTGTATTTTTGTATGGTACTTATGGTTGTAGTCTAGTTTTCCTGGTCTCATTTAATAGAATGGAAGACATATTACAGAAATTGAGACGATTTTGATTGGTTTCACAATGAAAAATACCTCGAAATTGAGCTCAAAGTAGCAGAAATGTTCAATTTTTGCCGAAGTTCAAAAGTAAACAAATCATGCCACTTGTCCAATACACATCAACTGGTGAGTCTAATATTCTTTCACAAGTGTGTTGATGTTATTTATACCATTTCTACACTAATGCAGTAGTCTGCATAACAGTAAATCTTGTATTTTTTGTGAGAAAAATTCAAAGTGGAAAACTAAAGAAATGTAAGAGAGGCCTGGGGACGTGACTAATGAAGAGAGTAAATGTTATTCTAGTGCCAGGAATGTCTGTCTTGTTTATTCTGGACCCTGTTTAGAAATTGGCATCTTTTGAAATTTGTGTGAAATTGGCAAAATTGCTAATTTCTGACCACTTTATTGGATAATTGAAATCGGTAAATGGGTGGTTTCTTGTACCCATTCGATAGAAAAAATGGAGTTCTAGCAAAATAGTTATGATTTTTGTCGACTAGTACATTGGAATTGGCCGAAAATAGGGCTCAAAGTGGGCGAAATTGCCGATGCGTAAACATCGTCGAGACCGTTAACTTTGCAAGAACATAATTCTGTAAGTTTTCCATCAAATTTCACACTTTTGGTGTCATTATGATTGGGAAAAGATTCTCTATCTTTTCATAAGAAAAAATTATTTTTTTTTTTCCGAAATTTTTTCGACCCTGAGAACAAGTTTAAGAGAGTGCCTCTTGACCCTGAAAGGGTTAACATACTGGCTGTCTCCCACCGAGGTAGGTTGACCCATAAAAGAAGAAAACTATAAAGTTTATCTTCTTAGTTAGATAATATAAAACTTTTGGAATAGTGTTTGGGTATTTTGTAACCTAATAAAATTTTGTGACAATTCCAGGGAAAAATTCACCATCTTATTGGTGCAGACATTGCTGAGATTTCCATAAAGCAGTGCAGGGACAGATATGAGATGACCATGAAGAAAAACCGCACAGGAGGATTTACATCAGAATTCATAGTTGCAGATTGTACTAAGGTAACAGTACCCAAATATGTGAAAATATTGACTCTTAATTTTTTTTGAAATTGAAGCTCAAGGGGTCAATGATAGTTTTGTACCTAAAATAAAACACTGTGTGTTTCTAGTCCATTTCTTTATTTATGATTTTAATACACATACATATACCCCTAAGAGCACACATAAGGGGACCACTTAGTTACCAAGTCTGGTTAAGGTAAATTGCTGGGAAGCTCTTGGGACCTAACACCAGGGCCAGGTATTATTCCATCACATATACAAAATTATTTACTGGATGTAAAATAGATATATTGCACCCCTCATGTAATTATTGATGGAAATTTGGATGAAAGCTTCCTAGATGTATCAGAGCCAGTGGGTTATTTTAAATATTACCTGGAGTATACCTGGAGAAGGTTTCGGGGGTCAACGCTCCCAGGGCCTGGTCTGTGACCAGGCCTCGCAGTGGATCAGGGCCTGATCAACCAGGCTGTTAGTGCTGGCTGCACGTAAACTGATGTACGAACCACAGCCCGGCTGGTCAGGTACTGACTTGATGTGCCAGTCCAATACCTTCTTGAAGACAGCCACGGGTCTATTGGTAATCCCCCTTATATATGCTGGGAGGCAGTTGAACACTTTTGGGGCACTGACACTTCTTGTGTTGTCTCTTATTTTATTCATGAAAGCCCTGCTTTTCATTGGAGGGATGTTGCACCACTGCTGAGTCTTTTGCCTTTGTAGGAAGTGATTTTCATGTGCTAATTTGGTACTAATTCTTCTAGGATTTTGTGTGTGTATATTATCATGTATCCTTCTTGCCTGCATTCCAGGGAATACAAGTCAAAGAAGTTCAACCATTCCCAGTAATTTAGGTGTTTTATCACGCTTATGTGTGCCCTGAGGGTTCTCTGTATATTTTCCAGGTCAGCCCTTTTACCTCCCTTGAAAAGCACTGTTCGTATACAACAATATTCCAGCCTAGAGAGAACGAGCAATTTGAAGAGAATCATCATGGGCTTGGTATCCATAGTTTTGAAGGTCCTCATTATCCATGATATCATTTTTCTAGATACATTGTTGTGATCTTTGAAAATGAGAGCCTCTGACATTATCACTCTACGGTCCTTCACATTAGTTTTATGCTTTATTGTTTGGTTGGAATTTGTTTTATACTCAGATATTGTTTTAATTCCCTCAAGTTTCCCTTATCGGAGTAATTGAAATTTTTCTTCATTGAACTTCATATTGTTTTGTGTGTCTCATTTAAAGATTTAATTTATGTCCACTTGGAGACTTGCAGTATCTTCAGTGGAGGACACTGTCATGCAGACTTGGGTGTCATCTGTAAAGGAAGACATGGTGCTGTGGCTTTCTTCTCTGTCTATGTCAGAGCTTTTCACTGTAGCTGCCTCAGACTTTACTCTGTTTACTATTACTCTTTGTGTTCTCTTTGTTAGGAAGCTGTAGATCCATCTACTAACTTTTCCCATTATTCCTTTATCATGCATTTTGTGCATTATTACACCATGGTCACACTTGTCGAATGCTATTGCAAAGTCTGTGTATACATCTGCATTTTGTTTGTCCTATAGAGCATCCCAGACCTTGTTATAGTGATCCATTAGTTGGGACAGGTAGGAGCGGCCTGCTCTAAACCCACGTTGACCTGGGTTGTGAAACTGATGGGTACCTAGATGGGTGGCAATCTTGCTTCTTAGACCCCTTTCAAAGATTTTTATGATATGGGATTTAGTGCTATTGGTCTGTAATTCTTTGCTATTGCTTTACTGCTCCCTTTGTGGGGTGGGGCTATGTCTGTTGTTTTAAGGGATTGTGGGATAACCCTTGTGTCCATGCTCCCTCTCCATAGAATGCTAAAGGCACTTGATAGGGGCTTCTTTGCAGTTCTTGATGAACACAGAGTTCCATGAGTCTGGGCCTAGGGCAGAGTGCATGGGTATATCATTTATTACCTTTTTGAAGTCATGAGGTATTAGGATAATATCAAAGATGTTTGAATTGACCAAGTTCTGAGTCTCGGTCATAAAAAATTCCTTTAGGTTGTTGACTTTTAGTCTTGTTAGTGGGCCTCTCGTATCTCACTAATTTTCTTGTTGTCATCTGTGTGGGTCCCATCTCGTGTTAACAATGGTCCAATACTGGATGCTGTTTTCACCTTAGATTTGGCATAAGAAAAGAAATTTTGGATTTCTTTCAGTTTCTTATCTCCTGTATGATTCCTTAAGCTTAAGTTAGATATTTGCTATTTCTTTGCCTAGTGCCTTGCTTCATAATTCAGATATACTGGCCCCTTTCAGCAGCTCTGTGATTCTTTACCTTCACCTGTATAGGGAGCCTGTCTTTCTTTCTAATTTACATCTCTTCCTTTTTCTTCAAGGAATATGCCTTGAGTATACCTCAAGTGCCACATAGTTTATTCTTTATAGGCAGATGTTCAGATCTATGTTGTTTAGGATTTCCCAGCTTGTTTCATTTAGGACATGGTTGACTTGATCCCACTGTATGGTTTTGTTGTTGAAGTCGAATTTAGTGAAAGCTCCCGCATACCTGATCACATTTTGCAGGTCAAGAGCCCTGTGCATACCTGTCTGTTCCTCTGTTGTATTGTGCATACATGTCTGTACCTCTGTTACATTGTGGTATACATGTCTGTACCTCTATTACTTTGTGGTCTTTGATACAGTTATAATTTGTATCAGATAATCATTGTTACTGAAGATGAAGTCCAGTGTATTCTCCAGTCTTTGTGGCTTTATTATTTGACAGTTTAAGGTGAATTTGATGCAGAGATTTAATAGCTCATGTGGGTGTGAATTTTCATCTGAGCTGCCTCCTGGGGTTATTTCTGCTAAAACATTATTTGCTACATTCCTCCATTTTAGGTGTCTTAAGTTGAAATCCCCCAGGAGCAAGATGTTTGAAGCAGGAGATGGAAGATTTTCCAGACAGTGGTCAATTTTCAAAAGCTGTTCCTGGAACTGAGAAATTGCATCCGGGCTTGTATACAACCACAGTGACCAAGTTTTGGTTCTCGATCTTTGTTGCCAAAACATCAACATTATTTGAGGTGTTTAGTAGTTCCGAGCAAATGAGTGACTCTGTGACATACAGGCCAAGCCCCCCCCCCTTTTTTTTTTCTGTTTATTCTGTCACATCTGTATAGGTTATAACCTGGGATCCATATTTCATTGTCAAAGTGTTATTGTATAAAATTTTATTCTGGTCACAATTTTTTCAAGTCTTTCTTACCTAACCCGTGTTCACTTCAGTGAAACTGGCAGTTATAGTACACTTCATGCAGCTTATTAATCAATATGGGTAATATGTGAGTGCTGTGCCTTGTGGAACAGAGCTTTTCACTGTAGCCGACCTCAGACTTTATTTACTATTACTTTTTTGTGTTCTATTTGTCTGGAAGCTATAGATCTATCTACTAACTTTTCCCATTATCAATACTCTATAGGTATGAGTGTTATCACTTCCCATAATTTCCTGATTGGTTATGCCTAGTATAAATAGCTCAGTTTTATGAACAAATAACTTATAAAATGCTCTTGAATATCTATATACTCTAAATACCAGCATACAAGTTTACATTTCATCTCTTTTTTTGTTTATTTCCAAAACTAGGAGTCAACTTGTATGATGGGTGTAAACTGGCAAGCACGTTCTTCAGGGGCCAGTGGGTGTATTTCAAGATCTGGGTGGAATTTATGACAACTTTACACCAAACTTAATTAATATGTAATGTGGCAGGCAGGATTAAGTCTTTTAGGGTCTGTGTCATAGATCTACGGCTTGAAAGCCAGGGTCTAAATCGTATATCTACGCCATGAGCTCAGCTCACTCAGATAACCTGTGAGTGGTAAATTTAGGCCTAGATATGAGAGAACACATCTATGTGGTAAGTGTGCACCACATAAAGCAAATCCTGCAGCACTCATTGCATAATGAGAGAAAAAACTGTGACCTTGATTTTGGATTAAAACAGCGACTTTGCGGTGTTTTTCGTATTTTTTTTACGGTTACATTCGCAATCTCTTGGTCTCACTTGATAGAATGTAATATGTATTACAGAAATAGAGATGATTTTGATTGGTTTTAGTACTGAAAATGGCTTGAAACTGAGCTCAGAGTAGCAGAAATGTTCAATTTTTGCCAATGTTCAAGAGTAAACAAATGTCGTCACGAGTCTAATATGTGTAAGCTGGTGGGTCTAATATATGTTCACAAATGTGGTGATATTATTTATACAATTATTGCAACATTGCATAACAGTAAATCTTCTATTTTTTTGGTGTGAATAGATATTCATTATGTGAATAAAAAATCACAATGGAATTCATTTGTAAAGTCTGAAAACGTAACTAATGAATAGAGGAAATGTTAGTTTAGTTGCCAGGAATGCCTGCATTGTTTATTCTGCACCCTATTTTGAAATTGGAATATTTTGAACTTAGTGTTAAATTCGCCAAATTACCAATTTCTGGCCACATTATTAGATAGTTGAAACAGTTGATTGGGCAATTTCTTGTGCTCAGTCGATAAAATAGAAGTACAGGTCTCCCTCAACCTTCACTTTTTCAACTTTCGCGGGCTTCACACATTCGCGAATTCCCAACTGCTAAATTCCCAACCACCAAATTCCCAGCCGCCTAATCATATTTTAAGTTTCCCGCCACCCGCGAGTCCCTACTACCCTCCCTCCAACCCCCAAAACACTCACTACACTCAGTGTAGTGAATGTTTTGTGTGTTGATTATTTGCTATTAACCCTTTCAGGGTCCGTCCCGTAGATCTACGGCTTTACGTTCAGGGTCCAAACCGTAGATCTACGTCATGAGCTCAGCTCACTCTGATAAACTGTGAGTGGTACACTTGGGCCTAGATATGAGAGAATACATCTATGTGGTATGTGTGCACCACATAAAACAAATCCTGCAGCACACTGTGTATAATGAGAAAAAAAACTGATACCAAGATTTTCGATTAAA